ACAGCCCCAGGTTAGTGTCCCATGCAGATGCCAGCTTGTCAGGCACGCACTCCAGGCAACACCCTTCCCAAAGAGCAGACTCTCTTCAGCAAAAGGTGGAAAACAGGCCCCAGTGCAGGCTCTCACACCCAGCCCAGCTCCAGTCCTCAGTCTCAGAGCCTGCCCACTGTCCAGCGGCTGCCTCTGGCCTGTTGGGGGCTTTGGATCAGGGTTCTGATCTTGGAGAAGTCAGGACATCCACTCCCTCTCCAAGCTCCAGCCTGATATTCCGAAGCCTTCCATTTATTTCACTGCCTGTATTAGTGTTCTACTGTTGCATTAAAAATTACCACAAACTTAGCAGTTTAAAACAACACATACTTCTTTCTTTCTTTTTCTTTTTCTTTTTTTTTTTTTGAGAGTCTTGCTCTGTCACCCAGGCTGGAGTGCAGTGGTGTGATCTCGGCTCACTGCAACCTCTGCCTCCTGGGTTCAAGCAATTCTTCTGCCTCAGCCCCCCAAGTAGCTGGGATTACAGGCGTGCACCACCATGCCTGGCTAATTTTTGTATTTTTGGTAGAGATGGGGTTTTGCCATGTTGCCCAGGCTGGTATAAAAAACTGCAAACCTCAGGTAATCTGCCCACCTGGACCTCCCAAAGTGCTGGGATTACAGGTGTGAGCCACCACACCCAGCCAACACACCTTTATTATCTCACAGTTTCTGTGGTTGAGTCGTCTGAGCACAGCCTACCTGGATCCTCTGCTCAGGGTCTCACAAGACTGTAATGAAGGTGTCAACTTGGCTGTGATCTCATCTGGAGGCTCAAGTGGGGAAGAATCTGTTTCCACCTATGCACTTCCTTGCAGCTGTGTGATGGGGACCCTAGCTTTTCTGCTGCTGGTCGTAGGCCACCTTCAGGTTCTAGAGGCTGCCTCTGGCCTTTACCAAGTGGGCTTTCATGAGTTAGCTGCTTACTCCATCAAGCCTGCAGGGAGAGGCACTCTACTCTGGACGAACCCAGTCCCTGTTACAAGGGTTTTCACCTGATTGAGCCAGGCCTGCACAAAATAGTCTGTTTTTATTAACTGAAAGTCAACTGATTTGGGGCCTCAATTACATTTGCAAAATCCCTTCACCTTTGCCAGATTCTGTTGGTTAGAAATAAGTCACTGGTGCCCCCATACCAAGGGGAGGATTTATATAGGATGTGGCCACCACACTGTTGGCTGCCTTCCTGGAAGTGAAGGCTCCCGTTCCGCTAAAAAGAAACTGAAGCCCCAGGCAGTGTAGAACAGCCTTGAGACACAGCCTTCTGTGTTTAGAGCCTCTGGAAGCTCAGCACAGCCTTCCAGGGCTCAGAGCCTCTGGAAGGAGGACTGACATGGATGGAGCGGTAGACTGGTCTACAGGAGGTGTGCAGGGGGTGGCTGAGAGAGATTGGTAGGGAAGAGATGTCCTCGGGGGAGGGTAGGCCTCTCAGGCAGCACAGATCAGTGAGGGAGGGGTGGGGGTAGCAGGCTCTGAGAGTGCCCTGCAGATGTCTGGTATGGGGAGAAAATCATTGAATTCCTCCATTTCCAGCTGAGAGGTCCCCAGAGACAGGGACCCCTCCCTCTCATGTCAGCCCATTACATCTTGGTCCCTTTCTCTGCACCCTCATCGTTGGCATCAGGGGACCCCACCCACCCTCTTTCCACTCGGGTTTCACAGGCATCTAGGAGATCAGCTAAGGGGCAGCTGGAATGGCACTGTATGTCCCAACCGAGGGACAGTGGGAGGATTGTCATGGGGCAGACGTGACCTCAGCTCGCCGAACTCAGCTCATCCTGCTCCAGGGAAGGACAGTGTCACAGAGGAACAAACACCCACTGTGCTGGGTCTCCTCTTCCCTGAGGGGTTCAGACCCAGGCAGGGACCCTCTTGGCAGGGTCAGAGCCTTCAGTGCCTACAAGCCTGCCTGCTCCAGCCAGGCCAAGAGGAGCCCCAACCCTGTGCCACTTACCAGGCCCTGGGCCTGCCTGCATACCCTCCTCACACCCTGGGCCTGCCTCCATACCCTCCTCACACCCTGGGCCTGCCTGCTACTCAGCCTAACCTGAGAGCTCAAGCCCACCGTCCACCCAGAACCAAGACCCTCAGCCACCCCCAGCCTCTGCTCAGGTCCTGAGCAAGGAGGGGTGCTGCAGCAGGCATGTGCCATGCGCTGTGCTCCCTCACTTCTGAACAACCCCTCTGAGCTGTCCTGAGCTGGGTTTCTCAGGCCCCCAGCCTGGGCACAGGTTGTCCCATTGCACTTCACCTTCCGATGCCATCCACGGAAACCAGCGTTGGCTAACTCACAAAGGGTTGTAATGAAAGGATATGGGGTGGCTTACTGGGTTATCGGGAAGGCTGGAGAGCCAGGCAGGAACCAGGGAGGGGTGCAGCTGGATCTCACCACGGGGGCGGTGTACCTGGACCTGCCACCCCTGGAGAGGCGCTGCTGGATTCTTGAGTTCTTGCAGCCCCACCAATTCTCACTGCCTCTCCCTAAAGCCTGGCACCACTCCATTCAGATTCAAAGTCCAGAGAGAAGGCGCCAGTGGGTCAAGCCCATGTCTTATCACTGTGGCCAAGAAGTGGGAAGGAGGCACCAGCCCACATCATCTCTCATGGTGGGAGGACGTGGGCTCTGCTCTGTCTCTGTGAGTCCCCCAGTAGAGGAAGGGTATTCAGATGTTGGGCCTCCGTGTGGCCCCCAAACCCCAGGGGAGCCTCTCATCATGACACCTGGGGCTCGGTCCTGCCAGTGCTCAGTGGACCATGCTGTCAGGGTCATGGTCTCCCTGACTGTCTGAGATAACCCAGAAGGCAGGTCACTCCTGGGACCTGGCCAGCACAGCACCTGCGCACTGTCAAATATATGGAGATGGTATTTCCTATCTGTGTCCCATGGCTCCGGGTTTCTGAATGTCACTATATTTGGTGCCAGGCTCACAGACTCGGCCACAATTAGTGTTTTAACCCTCCAGCAACAGGGCCACCCTCAGAGCCATTAGATGTGGGATTTCCTCTGTGATTGTAAGAGATTCCTTATTAAATTGCTTTGTGGCACTGAGCGAGGACACAGAGCTGTGTCCCCAGAGACTCCCTGGCCTAGGCTGGGCCAGGTGGGGTGTAGATAACGTGGAGCTGCACCTGTTGCTGCTTCTAGAAAGCAGCCAGTGTCCCAGAGGCTGTGCTGGGGAGGCCAGTAGGCCAGGGCACCATAGCCCAGCCATGCTGGCAGGAGAGAGATGTTCTCTTCACCCTAGATCTAGAGGCGTCTCTTCCTCCCACTGCTCAGGGAATGGGCCGGGGAAGGACTGGGGTGTGCTGGTCCCTGTCACAGTTCTGCTCCAGCCTCCTGCCCTTGCTGACTCAGCCTGCTCCAGCTCTCTGAGCACTCAACCTGCACATGGAATGGGGGCCATGGTGCACCCCTTCTGCCCATGCACCACCATCCCCCGACTGCATAAGGCTCTGCGGGTCAGCAGAGGAGGAGCGGAACCAAGAGGTGGCAGTGGCAAGAGGTGGTTTCTGCTGGAGCCGGTCCTGACCCCTGACTCTCCTTGAGAGATGCAGAGGCTGATCCAGGGCTTCTTGGCTTGGCCTGCTAACTGCTCACCTTAGGAATCTGCCCCCCAAGTGACGGGATCCGATTGCACATTCCTGAAGCCTGAGTCATTCCTGGGTCCTGCTCAGGCTCAGGAATGTGTTTATGCTTATGGGGCTGGAGGGATACACATACCACGTGTCTGCTCACTCGGGATTTGGAAGGGATGAGGGCTCTTCTCAAGGATAAGAGGGATGAGGTGGTGACCTCTTTGGAGTCGCTGAGATGCTGCAGTATGTGGGCCACAAAGGAGCAAATGAAGGGAGGGCCAGACTCAGGCTGGAACCAAAGCCTTTGGCTTGTGTAGAGTTGGCTTTAACTTGCTCCCAAGGGGCAGAAAATAGAGAGGGGCAGTCCAAGCAGGACCCCCCTGGCAGTGACCTTGTGAAAGGTACTTGCTCCCTCATCACCTCCTCCCACCAAGGGCAACCTCCAAAAGGGCACAGCTTGGTGAGGCTGTGGCTGCCACCTCAGAGCTGTGGCTGTGGAGCTCAGCTCCTCCTCCCACTCTGTCCAGAGCTCTCTGTTGACAAGTTGATGGTTCTCATCTAGGTTCAATGTGGGCCTCTGCAACTGTGGAGAGAGTTCACAGGCATGGCTCGCATCTCTGAGGGTTTATTCAGAGCTCAGTGCTATGCCACCATTTGCCTGGGACAATCCCGGGTTACCAGTACGATAATCAACAGTGCCTCTTTTTACTCTCGAGAGTTTCCCGGTCTGGAAGATAACTGTATATTTGCCTTAACTCTACAAGCGTAATTTAATCCCTACAATGCACTACAAGAAGAGCACTGCTAATAGCATCATTTTCTGATGAAGAAACAGAGGTTCAGAGAAGATAAGTAACTTGCCCAAGGTCACACGATTAGCAAATGGCAGACCCGGAAACATAGGAACTCAGCATTTGACTTCAAAGCCTCTTTGCTTTGCCACAACATCAGATTTCCTGTTCTAAAATCCATTGCTTGATGCTTTGAAGGACCGAGAAGCTGATATCTCCAAATACTAGTAAAATAACCATTAACGTCCTGCAGTGATCCCAGCTCTCCTCACAGCCCCACGCTTGGCCATTTAGCCTCGTTCCTTTCCCAAGTGACAGAGTACACAATACCGTTCGCTTGCAGCAGCAGCCCCGTCATGGGATGAATACACACCATCGTGCCTACTGTGTGTCAGGCATGGCACCTACTGTGTGCCAGACATGGCACATGTCGTCTGACCCTGACACAACCCTGTATGGTGGTGTTGCTCCTCCTTTCATGGAAAGGAGACCCCTAGAAGTCACACAGCTGGGAGGAGGCAGGGCTGGGGCTAGAACTCGCAGATCCTGGCTTTGAGCCTAGCAAACACTCTGCAGTGCCATACACAGTGGCTACGCTGCCAAGGCCCAGCCACAGGCTCCGAGCTTACATCTCATGGCGAGATGTAAGTGGCTAAATCCATGTGTGTGGACTCACAGGCTCTCAAGGCACCTCCTCCTCCAAGGAGCCTGCACCGTCCTGCCCTTTGAGGGGGTCTGAGGCCAGTTCTCAAAATGTCTTCACAATCCACACACATCACATTTAAGAGGCTTTTGGATAATGTTTTTATTTCTTTGGCGGGAAAGATCAGACATCTTTCAGAACAGAGCACGGCCACCTTGAAGCTGGGGAAGGGGCTGTTTCTGAAGCTCAGGCCTTCCCCATCCAGTTTCTCTGCCCAGAGACCATCTCAGTGTGACAGCCTCTTCCCACTCCAACACACCGGCCTCTGGGGAGGAAGAAATAAAAGCAAGCGCATTCCAGATGTTCCCGGGAAAATGGTATTCGGGAAAAGGATGTTTGTTTAGAATTTACCAAAAATAGAGAGCCCCAAAAGAGGAAAAGGCAACCTCTTGACCCATTTAAACAGCCATTTCCCAGGAAGAACTTTCTACCAAACAATGTCACAAAAAGAAAAGCTAATAGCTTTGACAATATAATAATATAAAGCTTTGATACATTCAAAGCCTCCAAAAGCAAAAATTAAGCAACACGTATATGCAACAGATACCAAAATGACAACATACAGAGAGCTCATCAAATGACTTTTAAATAAATCCATCAAAACCTTGTTAGGAAAACAGGCAAAGAAAACAGATAATCAACCAAGAAAGTTTTAAATGGCTTAATAAGTACGAACATTTGCATTTCATTAATAATCATATAAATTATAATTTTGAAATACCATTATTTCCCTTTCAGATAATGAGACTGGCTTTGTTGGTGTTACCATAAGCTGGTGTAGACCATAACACCAGCCCTCTCAAACCTGGGCTGAGGCTGGCATATAAGTCAGAGGCAACTCTTTTGGAAACATTTTGGTAACACATATCAAGGCTATTTTACTACAAAATGTAAATGTCTTGAAATTTTCTCTGAGGAAACATTGAGAAATTCAGACCAAAAAATTATGTACAAAGATGATTGATAAAGGGGGTATTGAATAGTAAAACATGGAAGCCCAGATATTCTACAATAGGTGAATAAATGCATTATGATATGTCTGTATGATCATAGGACACAGTCATTTAAAATGGTCTTTTTGAAGAGAGTTTATGCAAAGGAAAAGAAACAAAAGTGAAAAAAGTAGTCCGCGGCCGGGCGTGGTGGCTCACGCCTGTAATCCCAGCACTTTGGGAGGCGGAGGCAGGTGGATCATGAGGTCAGGAGATCGAGACCATCCTGGCTAACACGGTGAAACCCTGTCTCTACTAAAAATACAAAAAATTAGCTGGGTGTGGTGGCGGGTGCCTGTAGTCCCAGCTACTCGAGAGGCTGAGGCAGGAGAATGGTGTGAACCCAGGAGGCGGAGCTTGCAGTGAGCGGAGATCTCCCACTGCACTCCAACCTGGGCAACAGAGCAAGACTCTGTCTCAAAAAAAGAAAAAAAAAAAAAAAAAGGAGGCTGCAAAGAGTACGAGCCCAGTCTTAGAAAGCATGTGTAGATGAATGAATGACATGGCCACATAGAAACATAATGGCCATCAACCACACCCATCTGTGGCAGGGAGAGCAAGACCCTGACACCATCCCCTGCTCTCCTGAGGATGGTAGGGATACCACGAGCCCATTTAATGTTTCAGAGGGTAGAGGTGAGGCTGGGAACCTGGGAGGAGCCTGGCAAAAGGTTGACGGGGAGAGCGCAGGAGAGCAGGATGTTTGGGTTCACCAATGACAGTGGCCATGGTCCCATGGTAGGTCAGTAGCCCAGAAAGTATCAGAGACCATGGATTAAGAATCAGACCACTGTGCACTTGGGAGGCTGAGGCAGGAGAATGGCGTGAACCCGGGAGGCGGAGCTTGGACCCAGGAGCCGGAGCTTGCAATGAGCCAAGATCGCGCCACTGCACTCCAGCCTGGGCAACAGAGCAAGACTCTGTCTCAAAAAAAAAAAAAAGAGGAAAAATAGAATCAGACAACTGTGAGGGGTGCAGTCCAAGTGGCCAGGAGCTGTTGGGAGCCTGAACACCGAGCCCAGTGCCTTGGCAGAGGGGATGTCATGCGTGGGCAGCTCTGTTCTGGGAAAGAAAGCTTCTCCCTGCCTGAACGTCCAGGCCTCTTCCACCAACCATCTGGCCGTTCCACAGTCTCCTCCACCCAGGACATGGGAACCTTGGGGTGGGGATAGGAGGCACTCTCATTCAGTCCTCGGGGACCAGCCTGTGAACACTAGGGCACCCCAAGCTGGTCACCAAGGGAAGTGGACCTGTCTCTCCAAGATGTTAAAAAAAACAAAAAAAAAGTACCAAAATATAGTTTACAATAGGCGACAGGATTAAAAGTGATGTTAATTGTCTATGCTTTTCTATATTTTCTTAATTGTCTATATCAAGCATGTATTACTTCTATAATTGGAACAAACAATAAGGGCTACTTTTGAAATAATATACATGCTTTTATCTCATACCAAGAAACAGTGTCTTCTGAATTATTCCAAGCCGATTTTTTTTTTTTTAATATGGAGTCTTGCTCTGTCGTTTAGGCTGGATTGCAGTGGCACCATGTCAGCTCACTGCAACCTTCGCCTCCTGGGTTCAAGCGATTCTCCCACCTCAGCCTCTGCAGTAGCTGGATTACAGGCGCCTGCCACCACGTCCGGCTATTTTTTTTTGTATTTTTAGTAGAGATGGGGTTTCACCACATTGGCCAGGCTGGTCTCGAATTCCTGACCTGAAGTCCTGCCTCGGCCTCCCAAAGCCGATGTTTTTGGGATTACACGGGTGAGCCACCACACCCGGCCTTCCAAGCTGATTTTTCTGCTGGCAGCTCACAAGGCCCCAGGGTTCCAGCTCCCTCCTTGGAGCTCACGTCAGCCCACGTGGCAGCTTGCAGCTCCTCTGCCCTCCTCTCTGGCCTGTCAGTACCATCTCAAAAAGCAAGCTCTCTAAAGCCATGTGAGGCGAAGGCACAGGACATCTCTACTCAGAGGGCTTGCTTGAGGTCCCCCTAACCTCACAGAGGCCTGTCCCCAAGGTCCCAGGCTGAGGCAGGCTCAGCATTCTGAGAGCCTGACTTCCCCAGGGGGAGGGCTGCCAGGTGGAGGAAGTCCAGGGTGTTCATGCTTGTCTCATGATCTCCAGAGAGGACCAGATGCTGACCACTGAGGTGGCGGGGCTAGGCCCAAAGTCACCACTAAACCAGCACCTGTCTCTCCATCTCTTCCATCCGGGCATCAAACTTTCTCTCCTTTCTGCTCCCTCTTCAGCCTTAGCCTTGCCATGGGGGCCACAGAATGGACCACTAGCCCTGCTTTGCATGGATGGGTACATAGATTTGTCAGCAATGAGTACATCCCCAGTCTGAGCCTTCACTTCTCAGGACAGCCCATCGCAAGTTCAGCCACTCCTCGTGGTCACTACCAGGGCCTTCACCGTCCAACACATCCTCATCTGAGCACCCTGCAGGGTGCCAATGTCTCTCTGAAACTGTGCTGTTAGGGGGCTCTGACATGGGCAAGACCTCCAACCTCCCGCACTCTTGACACTAAACCTCTATGGAACATGACCTAGAAGCTGAGCTTTCGTGGGGCTCCTCGCATGTTCCCTGTCAATGAGCTCTGCTCCCCTGCATGCTGGGTAGGCACTGCTACAGGCTGCTGGTGAAGAGATCAGACCTGGCATCGGTTGACTCTGAAAATCGACTGAGGAACGAGATCCCCATAAGCGGCAGCTCGTCGCTAAGGCTGGACAACTTCCAAGGGTGAGGATGGCCTGTGTTAGCTCTAAGGTCTCTTGCAGATCTGAAAACACCAAGTGCTAGGGTGATAAGCACACCCAACCCTGAGATTCAGAGGATAGAGAATTCTAAGTGGCTCAAATCCTAAGGTAGTGAGGCATGGACCGGACCATGCCCTTCCTGAACAGGGCTGCTTCCAGAACTGGAGGACTTGCAGCTGTGGGACCCAGACTTCTCACAGCCGGGGGAGGGAGACTCCTCACAGCCGGGGGAGGGGGACTCCTCACAGCCGGGGGAGGGGGACTCCTCACAGCCGGGGGAGGGGGACTCCTCACAGCCGGGGGAGGGAGACTCCTCACAGCCAGGGGAGGGGGACTCCTCACAGCCGGGGGAGGGGGACACGTCATAGCTGGGGGAGGGGGACTCCTCACAGCTGGAAGGGGTGGAGGGCAGGATTTTGGGGGAATTGGGGTGGGAGCAGTTGAGGGTTTCCTGCCTCACATGAAGAGAGAGATGACTGAGACTCCTGGGGGTCCTGGATTCCCCAGTAGCTCCCCCTGGACCAATGGGTCCCAGCAGCTCTCAGTTCATTGCTGTGTCCAGGAGTCTGGTGAAGAGTTAATGCTCAATTAACATCTGGAGATGAATGAATGAAGGAGGGTAGCACGTCAGAGGCCACCCAGGTCTCAGCAGCTCTCAGGCTGCCCGTGCTGGAGTCACCCCGCCCTCCAGGCAGGCAGATGGGGCTGCTGAGGTAGAGGCTGGAGGCATTTGGCCCTGGTTTTCCTGTCCAAGTGGTTTGCACCCCCGGGGTCTGTGTGTGTTCTTTGGTGCAGTTGTGGCCCCAGACTTGCGACTAATCCTCATTCCCCATATCTTCCTTGCTTCTGAGTCAGCTGTGAGCTCCACCTCTACCCAAACTTCCAGGGTCTCAGGAGAGACCAGTGGTGTGTGAGGGGCATCCTCTGTTTGCTCTTTGCTGAGGCCGGAGCCACCTTCTATCACAGACTGTCATAGCTTCTCAGGGCTGTCCTTCTCTGTAGAAGGACAATGGGACCCGATGCCTGTGGGTCCTGCCTCACCCCCTCATCCTGGAGCAGCCACCCGGCCTCGCTCCCCTTGGTGATCTCTTGTTCCAGTTGTTGCTCTGTCAACTTCATCAGGTCATGTCCCCATACTCTACCCCTTCCTCACGGCCTGGCCTGGCCCATCTGACAGGTTCTCTCACAGGCAGAACTGGACGTGTGGCTGGGCCAGGCTGGACAGCTGGGTCCCTGTGAATTTCCACAAATCCAGAGTCAAGCTGGTGTGGATCCAGTGAGAACTTATCAAACACCTGGGCGCCTGAGCTAGGCTAGACACCTAAGGACGCCAACTTTGGCAATCCTTATTGGGACCCTGGAAAGTGCAATTTATTGTCTCTCCTTGGCATTAAACTGATGCTCAAAGAGATGGACCTCCTGGACCAAGGACAAAGAGCACAATCTGGACTCTACACAGACTTGTTTAGGTGCAAAGATTCCTACTCAATAAAGGGAAGGGAATCCAGGAAACTGCATCTCCCTACTTCCCGGCCCAGCGTTTGTCCATCAGGCTGCCCAGGTCCCCATGCTGCTGCAGGAGCCCTGATGATGAGTACTGCAGAGCCCATGGGAGGAATGCCAGCCTCACGCCAGGATAGCCGGGCAGGCTGGTCACGTTGGGAAGCCTGGAGCCAGCCAGCCAGGCCCTGATAGCTTACAGCTGCTCCAAATGCAGGAGGCGGAATCAGAGCCCACCCCAGCCACTGGAGAGGGACGCCTCCATCTGTGCCTGTGTTCCTGGGGTGCCGCCAGGCCTTTCCTCCATGGGAGCTGCCAAGGAAAGAGCCCTTTTGTCATCTTCCCAGGCAAGAACTGCCATCCCGTGGCACTCACTCCCTGCACACTCCAAGGCTTCTCTCCTGCTTCATGGAAACGGGATTGAGTCTTGCTTGAAGCTGTGCACCACCAGACCACAAAAAGCCTCAAATATGGGTGTGGCCACCAGCCCCAGAGAGCCACAAGCACTCAGATTCTGGGAGCCCCGAGACTTGGAAGTTGCCCGTGGTACCAGGGCCAGGTGTTTATTGTCAGCGTTCTGGCCGGCCACACATGTTGCTGACGCTTTCTGTGCCTTTGGAGCTCTGGATGACCACTGTGTGTGTTGGTTTTGAGACAGGGTCTTGCTCTGTCACCCAGGCTGGAGCACAGTGGCGTGATCTCGGTTCACTGCAACCTCTGCCACCTGTGTTCAAGTGATTCTCATGCCTCAGCCCCCCAAAAATGCAGACATGTGCCACCATGCCCAGTTAATTTTTGTATTTTTAGTAGAGACGTGGTTTCATCATGTTGGTCAGGCCGGACTTGAATTCCTGGCCTCAAGCAATCTGCCCACCTCCACCTCCCAAAGTGCTGGAATTACAGGCCTGAGTCACTGCACCTGGCCCTGTGTGATCCTTCTGAGAGTTTCTGAGCAGCGAACACCCCAGGTGGCTGCATGGGGGAGACGGTAAAATCTGACAGCAGCTAGTGGGTCCTAGGGGGACGGTTCAACATCATGTCCCATGGATGGTCCAAGGACAGAACAGCCCCAGCATTGAGGCCAGAAAGCTGGCCCTGGAGGAAGTTGGTTCCTATCCTGTGCCTCTAGGCTGGGGTGAAGGTTTCCAGGAGGACACCTCCCTTGGTCACACTGTTCTCCCAAGCACCCCTCTTGCATACGTGCCCAGATCCGCAACCCCCAGAGGGCTACAAAAATTAGCCGGGTGTGGTGACGCATGTCTGTAATCCCAGCTTTTTGGGAGGCTGAGGCACTAGAATCGCTTGAACCTGGGAGGCAGAGGCTGCATCACAAAATCCATCACAACCCCTGGGTTTCCTCAAGGGATTCTCCATCTGGCCATCCACCTCCCCTGCCCCGCCCCGCCCATTCCGACTTCCCCTTTCGGACTTGTCCCTCTCTTCTGACCTCCTCCATCCATTGCTCTTCTAGCCATCACTCACCTGCATCACCGCAGTGACTCCCTGGCCGCTCTGTCTCTGCCCGGCTCAGACTTTCCTACACAGCCAGGAGTAAGCCCAGGACAGCATGTCCCTCCTCCGCTCAAGAGCTTCCAAGGGCTCCGCATCAGGATCAGTTTCCCAGGGCAGTCATAGCAAATGACCACAAACTGGGTGGCTTGAAAAGTCTCCTCTCACAGCCCTGGAGACCAGAAGTCTGAAGTCGAGGTGTCAACAGGACCCCGCTGCCTAGGAGGGTCCTTCTTTGCCTCTTCTCGTTCCTGGCGTTCCCCCGCGGGTGGCAGCACCACGCCGATCCCTGCCTCAGCCTTCACGTGGCCTTCTCTTCTCCGCTGTGTGTCTCTTCCAGAAACACCTGTGATTGGATTTAAGGCCCACCTGGATAACACAGGATTCTCTCATCTTGAGATCCTTAATTTAATTTCATCTGCAGATTCCTTTTCCAAATAAGGTCACATTCACACATTCCAGGGGTTAGGATGTGAACGTGGCTTTTTTGGGAGGAATAATTCAACCCGATATTACCTTCCTAAGGAAAATCCCATCATTACTCTGTGCTTCGAGGCCCTTCAGGATCTGGCCTCATCCCTGACCTCCGACCTCCCGCTGTCTATCCCACCACCCCTGACCTCCAGCCCTGTTCCCCCCTGCCCCCCCGTCTCCCTAGCACACCATGTTCCTGCTTCGGGGCCTTGGCAGGTGCTGGCTTTTCCTCCAAGGTCCCCATGCTTCCTCCATCACTGTCGTCAGGTTTAGCGATTGTTTTGTATGACTAGGCCCACCCTGGCCACGTTGTCTAAACTTGCAACCTTCCTGGAACACTCCCTCTTCCTCACCTGCCTTCTCTCTTCCCTAGCACTCGTCACCATCACACACGCCAGCCTTCTCATTTATGTCGTTCATTGTCTCCCCTCCCCTAGGCCGCAGGCTTGTTTTTTCAGTTTTGTTCACTGCTGTGTCCCAGCGGCTAGAACAACGCTTGACACTAGTCGGCCTTGGCTGAATGAATGAGTGAATGAATGAGCAAGAGTTTGCTCAGGCTGAACTCTGAGCTGCCGGAAGCCTTTGTAGACACCCCCAGAACATGCCGGACCCACCTCTGAGCTCCTGGTGTACTTCGATTCTCACGAGGCCCCCACACTTCAGCCTCTGGTGATCCTCTTTTCGATCCTGACATGTTGGCTCAGCAAACAGTCCCTGAGCCCACATTATGAGTCACCAGAGGCCCTTGACCCTTCCTCCCACATTCTTCCCCACTGCGCCCGCTCTCACCCTGGTCACATTTAGCCAAGTGTGTGCAGGGAACGTGTATGAAGGTCAGGCCTGCCCTGCCGCCCCTGCTGGTCCCTGGGGCCGGGGGGATGGAAGAGTGGGTCCTTTTGATGCACTCAAGCCTGGGATCTGGGCCCCCAGGGCAGGCATTGAAGGAATGTACAAGAGTTGCCCCAGGGCCTGCAACACTAACTGTGAGGAGTTCTCCAAAACTTCCCTGATTCCACAGCCTCCATTTCAGAAGAGGGACACAGCCTTCTTGCCATGTCTCTGCTGCCAATGGGCTCTGTGACTGGCACCATTTCCCTCCTGTTGCTGGTCCCCAGTTTTGTCATCTCAAATCTGGGCATTGATCCCCTCGGGGATGGCTACAATAGGTTGCATCGTACACATTCCAACTCAGATGGCTCTGGCTGTAGCACTGGGTTGAGAAGAATTCTGAGGTTCAATCCAGGCTTAACAGGAAACAAGTGTGGTGATCCATTAGTGACATCTGCCATGGGTGTAGGGGAGAGTGGGGGCCCAGGTGTGCTAAGGCTGGGTTAGATGCTTTGTGACTGGGCTTTGGGCAATACGTCCACGTGAGTCTATGGACACCTGATGATAGAGAGAAGATCCTGGAGGAGGTGAATGAGTCTGAAATGAGTGGCTGATGGCATCACAAATCCTTTTTAAGTTTACTTTGGTGCATCTGAAGCAGCTGGTATGGCCTTCCTGCTGGGAAGGCATCAATGACCCAATGGAGAGATGGCTCCTTCCCTACGCTGGGGTTGAAGTCACAGGGCAGTTAGGTGAGGTCCCTGCTCTGTGTTTTGTCTCTCAGCTGGCCATAGTGCTTGGTGGCGGAGGCTGTCCTCTGGCTCAGGATTTGCAGCAACAAGGCCAGCCTCTAGCTGGGCCTAGCCAAGTGCCCTCTGAGACTCGCTGGAAGTGAGGTCCCCTGTCTCAATCCATTCAGGCTGCTACAACAAAATACCACGGATGGGGTGGCTTAGAAATGGCAGATACGTATTTCTCACAGTTCTGGAGGCTGAAAGTCCCAGATCAAGGTGTCAGCAGCTCCAGTGTCTGGGAGGGCTGGCTCTCTGCTTCCTGGATGCAGCTGTCTTGCTTCATCTTCATGTGATGGAAGGGGCCGGGGGTTTTCCTCAGGCCTCCTTTATAAGGCAGTGAATCCCAATCAGCAGGGATTCTGCCCCATGCCCCAGTCTGTTCCAAAGACCCCACTCCCATACTCTCACCTTGCTGGTGAGGATGTCAACATACACGTTGTCAGGGGTACAAAAACACTCAGACCATAGCGTCTTCTCAGGATAGACACAGAGCCTGGCACGCCACTTACCTGAACAAGGGAGACATTCTTGTAGCCAGCACAGCTGGATCAGGGAGTGAGAGCCTCGGCAGGCTTGGGAGAAGGTGCCCTAATGTGACATGGGCCTCAGTTTCCCAGCTGTGGGCGGAGATCACAGCAGCTGTCTCCTTTTCAGGCTGGACAGATGGCTGCAACCTGCAGAAATGCCATGGCCCTGGGACAGAGCTGTGTCTACCCTGGGGCAGAGCTGTGTCTACCCACAGGAAGGAGGATCCTTTTCTAATCCACACAAAGGTGCCCTGGGGATCCAGGTCATGCATAGAAAACTCCTCACCAGGCACTCACCAGGAGCAGAACGCTATTATCGCTATTATCGTCATCCTCACAGTGACTCCTGCTCTAACAGAGGTACATAGGCACAGAAAGAGGGAGACGTTTCCCTGAGGCAGCAGGAGGGCTTCCTGGAGGAGGGAGGGTTTGGGCTGAGCCTTGCCCATCCTGTAGCAACCGATGATTCTGGCCACAGCCCATGCCTGCCTGTCTGACTCCCCACAAAGGGATTGCAGCCTGCTCTGTGCTGCAGCCCTTCCTCGACATGGCTGGTTTCTTCCCTAGGTCTATATTTGGTTCCTGCTGACTCTTCTGTGACATAAATGCAAATGAGACCACAGACAACTAGCCTCAAAGCCAAGGAAGCCACTGGCTGGAGTTGTCTCCACAGTCCCCTGCTGGGCAGGGAAGTGGGCAGAGGTGATGGTCACGTCCATCTGTCATGGCCCATCAGGGGAGGAGGCCTCTTGGGGCCACTGACACCTCCAAGTGGCCCAAAAAAGATCATAGCCAGGAGGCAGAGCCTTGGACTAATCAACAAGAGCTTCCCGCATGGCTGATGACAGTTTCCCAGGTTCTTTCTTAATCACTGGGACCTTAGTTCAAAGGTGATCCTGTGTGGAGTCCTGGAATATAAAGCAGAGTGGTCCAGGGCTTACCTCCTGCCCTGAGGCCTTTTCACCAAACCCAGGGCTCCTTAGGGCACAGTCGCTTGAAAACCACTGACCCACAGGATGTGACTCAAACTTCTAAAGCTCTCACAACTCTCCCCTCCTTCTCCGTGACACTGCTCCAATCCCACCTCTGGGTGTACCAGATACCTCCTGCTCCTGCATTGGCCCTTTAGTGTTTTGATACTTGCTGCTTTGTCAAAACTCCTTCAAGACCCCCGCTAAGATACTGCCTCCTCCAGGAAGCTTATTGCTACGATCTGAATATTTATGTTCCTCCAAGATTCTATTCATCTGCTCAAACCTAAACCCCCAAGGCTCTGGTATTAGGAGGTGAGGCCTTAGAGCAGGGATTAGGTCATGAGGGGGAAGCTGTCATGAATAGGATTAGTGACCTTATAAAAGAGGCTCCAGGGAGCTGCCTTGCCACTTTCACCATGTGAGGACATGGCGAGAAGATAGCCATCTGTGAACCAGACAGCAGGCCCTCACCAGGCACCAAATCAACTGATGCCTTGACCTGGAACTTCTCAGCCTCCAGAACTGCCAGCTACACATTTCTGTAGTTTCTAATCACCCATTCTATGACAGTTTTTATAGCAGCCTGAAAGGACTAAGAGAATTACTTTGACCTCTTCCCCCCACCCACCTACATGGGCAGTGGTCCCTTCTTCCCCTTTCTGTGCTGTACTCTGTCCTCCTCCCTATCACAGCCTTCCTTCTGCTGTGTCTGAAGCACCCGTTTCCCTGTTTGTCCCACACACAAGTCTCAGCTCCTTCAGGGCCTGGTGGTGTTTCTCCTCTGCGTTTCCTGGGCTAGACTCTCATAGGTGCCCCATCAGAACCGCTCATTGCAGACCCAAGGCAGCCAGTAGGTGCCATGGCTCCCTGGACTCTGTGGGTGTGATTTGGGCAACTTGAATGTGTTTAGGATCCAGCCATGGCTCCCACTGAGGCCACATAAAAGGTCTGAGTTGGAGTCATCCCTTAAAAGGGAGGCCCAGGGAAGACACAGGCCCCCACCCCAGGGCCCCAGGGTCCCCTCCGTGTTTATGACATGGCCTCAGAACATGGAGTTTACAGGCCACGAGCAGCATGAGGCCCTTGGACACAGTCCTGGCCATCCCCTCATTGACCCTCTCCCTGAGCCCAGCAGGAAGCAGGCCTCTGTTCCAGGACTTTGGGGCAAAAGGTCACTTCCTGGACCAGGGTAACTACGGCAACACCAGTCCCCTGACAACCTCGGACTAGTAAAGTGTCCTCATAGCTCTGATTTTGTCTAAATGTATCATTTCAGGCTAAGGAAGGTCTTGTACTGGTTTTAGAGCCCTGGACGGAGCTCCAGACAACCTGGGCCTTCCTTGTTCTACCACCGACTTGCTGGGAGTTTCAGCAAGCCTTCACCTTCCGCGTTGGCGTTCTCAGCTCTAAGAAAAGGAAGTTGATTTCCATGAGAGGTGATCAAACTGTGCTGTAGAAACCTCAGCGATTCCACAGAACATTAGAGTACCTCTGCGAAGCAGAATTCTCCACGTGGAGAAGCCTCCCCTCTCACTGATTTTATATGCCATGCATGTCAAAGCTCTGGGGAAGATTTTTTTGCTTGAGGAAAAAAAAAAAGATTTTTGCTGATTAAAGAAAAACAACCCCGAAAAGTGCTGACTATGATATCTGTGCATTTATTGTGGAAATCTAGACAGTTTGCACTGAAATCAGAGATGTTTCTCATAGAATGGGACTAGGAGGATTCAAGGAAAGAAGACCTGCTTCCTGTTTCCCAGCCCGTAAACCCTTGCTGTTGTTTTCATGATTCTTATGATCCTTCCTGGGTTGTGATGAGAGGCTGGCAGGGGAGCCAGCTGCCTTCTGCCTCAGTGCCTAGAGCCAGGCTCAGCCCTGGTGAGGAGGGACAATCCTGGCTGGGTAGGTCAGGCAGCTAAAAGTCAGGGGTCAGTTCCCCTACTTCAGCGGCCCCTAACCTTCTTGGCACCAGGGAAGACAAAAATCGGAAGACAATTTTTCCACAAACTGGAGATGGAGGGATGGTTTCGGGATGATTCAGGCATTTCTGGTGCACTTTATTTCTATTATTATTACGTTGTAATACATCATGAAATAATGATCTAACTCACCATAATGTAGACTCAGTGGGAGCCTGAGCTTGTTTGCCTGAAACTAGATGGTCCCACCTTCAGGGGATGAGAGACAGTGACAGATCGTCAGGCATTAGATTCTCATAAGGAGCACAGACGAAGATCTCCTGCATGAGCAAGGGCTCGCATGCACAATGGGGCTCGTGCTCCCCTGAGATTCTAACGCTGCCGCTGATCTGACAGGAGGCGAAGCTCAGGCAGTAGTGCCAGCAATGGGGAGTGGCTGTAAATACACGTGAAGCTTTGCTGGCCTGCTGCTCACCTTCTGCTATGCAGCCCAGTTCCTAACAGGCCAGGGACCGGTACTGGTCCGTGGCCCACGGGTGGGGACTCCCCACTC